CTATTTCCCAGGCGGCCTTCAACCACTACATCTCCCACCAGCCCCTCTCTGTTTGTAAACAGCAGGTCTAGCGGGGCCTTACCCCTGGTAGGTTCATTTACCAGCTGATGAAGGAAATTGTCCTCTATACACTCCAGGAACCTCTTAGACTGCCTCTTCTCTGCAGTATTGAGCTCCCAGCAGATATCCAGCAGGTTAAAGTCACCCACAAGGACAAGGGCTGACGATTTTGAGACATCTGCCAGCTGCTTGTAGAATAATTCATCCCCTTCATCATCCTGGTAGGGTGGTCTGTAACAGACACCTATGATGATGTCAGCCTTGTTGGTCTTCCCCCTGATTCTGACCCACAGGCACTCAACCTTATCGTTGCTGATGATGAACATCCTTTAATGAGATGGAGGATCTCATGCAGGGTGGAGGCTTTCTGAGAGAGTAATATCCATTTATCCTCTGTAACTGGGCCAAGCAACTCCAACTGCACCACCACTGGAGATTTCTGCATCTGTTCTCACTTCATGTTCTTTGGTTTGTCTGATGTCAGCAGGTACAGTATGAGTTGCATACACTACCAGTAAGCATTTACTGTGGAATACTCAGTGCCACGCTGCTCCAAGGCTGGTAATAGCACCAGGCTCTCTAACAGGCATCTAGTTTCTCCTGAACTCCTACAGAAACAGCAGCATGTCTACAATCAACACCACAAAACATCAAAATTTAAATGGCTCATAGCAATAAGGGATGACATTTTCATTTTATTTCAGCTAACATGAGCACATACCACAAGATTAGGAGAAAGAAAATTCTTCATATCCTTCTCTACTCATACTCACTTTAGGCAAATTCTCTTCATCTGCAAGCAAGCACAGGTAAGTATATGATTCAAAGCCTCCCAAAAGGAGGGGGAAATGCAGGTTTATCCCCACGTACCATTACTTACAGCAAAATCTTATATTAAAATTGTTGCCAGAAATTGTCCAGGACTCTCAGAATGTGTTTCCCTCTCCTGCTGACTCCAGTGGGTGTAGGGATTTTGGGTGCCTATGAGCTCAACCTTCAGCTCTTGCAGTTTTATAGTTTAACTAAGGGCAGGTTTGGGTTTTTGATGACTCTTACATCTGCGTATCATAATCTGCAGAAAGGTGCTTTCCAAAAGCTAATTCTGGCACAAAAAAACTTCAGTATGCTGTTTCAGATGTGTTGTCCTGGGCTCTGCTTCAACGTACTGCAAATAACTGTCCATAAGAGGAACTAATCTGCAATGTTTTGATGGATACATATTACATACTTTCCCTAAAAGCATCCTTTTCCAGTGATTTTCAAATATCGTATTTTTATCATGAAATGCAAGTGAAATTCTTCCTTCCACTTCTATTGAGATACTTCCCTGACACTCAGTTCTGTTGTGTCCTCCCAACACCAGAACAAAAGGCAGGAAAATTGCTTCACAAAATGATTTTCAAGCCCTGCATGGGCTGCCCAGGGCAGTGGTAGAGTCACCATCCCTGGAGGGATTTAAAGACATGTAGATGTGGCACTTGGGGACGTGCTTTAGTTGTGCGTTTGGCAGTGATAGGTTGGTTCTTAGACCGGTGGTCTTAGAGGTCTTTGTCAACCTAGTTCTATTTCAACCTGATTCTATGGTTCCCAGGTCTCTACAAATTGAATTTTCAAATTTGTGAAGAATCAGGTAAGAAAAGGAAAGGAGCAATTTAAAAGGAGTAGCCTGATCGTACAGACATGTAAACCTGATAGAGACAAGTATAAGAGCCAAGGGTTACACAGCTCAGTAAATAATGTCCTAGTGGAAGTGCAAATCTCCCTAGACAAATGCATCCCATCCTTCTAGTAAAAAAGAGGTGGCTGGACAGGACAATTCAGAGTCTGGCAGTCAACATCCTTTTCTCCAAGGGTGCTCAGACAAGTCCTGGATACAAGGAGACACATGTTTAGGTATTTTTTTACATTTTCCACCCCTAAAGAGACAGAACCCTTTCAGGGATCCCTAAAAGTTCCTGTCCTTAAGAGTGAGAATGATCCAGGACAGGCCAGTGGCAGTTTCAGTGCTGGCCTTGGCACTGACAGGGGTCAGTGCAGGGACAGAGCTGAGACAACATTTAGACTGATCCCCCTCACCTCCACAGAATCTGAGATAAGAGAGTCATTCTTCCAAGCAGCAGTAGCTGTGCTTTAAAGTTTCACTTTGTACTGGCTATGAACGGCAGGGCCTGCTCAACTGGCACCTGTGGAGATCAGATTTTTAGGGCCGAGGAGGGTGAGGTTGTTTAGACTCCTAAGATGTGCCCAGGACTTTCTTCCTAAGAGATACACCTGGTATGTGTAAGAAGATGGTAATGAAGAGACAGAGAAACTCTCCCATTGCTTAAAAAACTCCCTTTCTCCCCAAGCCTGGCTTGCACTTGTTGCTCACTTGGTCACTTCCTATAAACTGTCCTACAACAACCCAGGGAAGCAGATAGGACCCTGTCAGGAGCCTGGATGCAGGGATTTACAGCTCCCTGCACATTGCAACTGAGTGGACTTTAGAGAATAATGGTCCCTACCAGCACAGAGAGGAGGATCACAGCTTAATGACAGGATAGGGTTGCTTCAAATTTTTTGAAGGGTTTGCCCAAAATTTTCCTTATGTACCTATTTTTCTCTCGTCTGTCTGCTCTCAAGTTTATTCTGGAACAGGATGAGAGCAATACAAGGCTTTAAAGAAGTCACTGAGTTAATGACTATACCATGAACTGTTATCTAAAGATATTTTCTTTATGTTTCCTGACTGAAAGGGGAACGTTAAAGAACAGTACATTTGATTTATATTCTTTTTAACCCCTCCCCCCCCCCAAATTAGGATATGTGTAATTCATACACACTTTTATTTACTCCCACAGTTCTGTAGCATGAATGATCAGGAAGAGGCTTTCATTTGGTCAGCAATGAAGGTGTCAGATTGCAGCCTGCCAGCACAGTGCCACTCAAATTCTTCAGGCTTCCAGTGGTAAGGACAGCTTCTCGCCAAAGTGATGTGAGGCAGGAGGAGAACACAAGCAGATCTTGACACCCAGGGCCAATGTGACCATTTGTGTATTTGCAGATTTATTCTGTTCGGGGGCGCAGATGCTGTCCTTTGGAGCCTGTCCTTGTCATTTCAGGAGTGTTCCCAGAATGGAGGCCCATCCTTGTAATTGTGCTGATGGAAAAACTGCTGCCAAAACAAATGCCAGAGAGAACTCCTGCCTGGGTTTAGAGCTCCCCTACTGCTAGATATCACCAAGGGGAGAAGTTTTCCCAGGCAAGTAAGGCAGAATAATTGCACAGCCCTAAAAACAGGCACCAAATACCCTTGTGCCCAGCACCCCAAATCCATGAGAACTGCAGAGAGGACAAACTCTGACTTTAAAACTAAACAGGGAAAATCTTGTGGAGGGACTGGCCTGAAATGCCTGGATGTGATGGCCTTTTCCCATGAGGCAGAAGAGAAGCCCTATGAATAGAAAACATGGGCTGTCACCTGGTGAGATTTTAATGGTCAGAGCCATGTGGCCACCCCACACAGAACCCCTGGCCTCACACCAGCCAGCCCTGAAACTAACAGATGATGCTCTTCCAAGCAGAAAAAGAAGTGCTCGGTCTAATGCCTCTGCATGATGACAGCAGCCAGAGACAAGAAGGGATGGTGGGACAGCCCAGCCCAGGTGGTGATGGATCCTGGCTCTCCAGAGTCGTGAGCAGGGTGCCAGCAGCCCTTCTACCCTACTCTGGAGGGACAGCAACTCCAGCTCCTTCCTGCAGGTGTGGGGCCAGACTCCATCACTCATGTTTTTGAGGAGCACCAATGCACTGTCTTCCAGAAGCATGGAGACTTGGCAAGCAGAGAGGGACCTGGCACGGTGGGTGAGTGACAGCAGCACTGGATGGACTGGAGAAAAACATCCCTTTCTGCTTTTTCATGCCAGTAGGGGCACAGACCACAGCGTTGGGAGACTCATACCTAGGGTTGGCCACTGACCACTCAAGTTCTCCAAATCCTGGTGTTGGAGGATGCAGCAAGGCCGCAGTGCCTAGCAGCATGGGAAAGAATGTAAATAAGAAGTGAACATCCAATCATATGTGAAGGCTAGTGGTAAATTATAGATGATAGAGCTAAGAATAGTGTTAGTATGTAAGATTCTACAGGGACAGTGTGTGAGTGCAGCTGTGTGAAGACAGTGTAATATTATGGATGAAGAGAATAAAAGCTGAATTTAGGCCATCATCATCTGGTGCCCAGTTTTATTTACATGGCCGTCCTCGTATTTAATACAACATTGTGGCATCTCCCAAGGAAAGGAAGTGAGAGGTGAAGGTGTCATCCAGCTGCAGGCAGTCCATGCTGACTGGTCCCACCACTCTGCCCCTCACAGGAAATTTTGGCAAGGCGTCAGGAGCGGGGATGAGGCACAGGGCCACAGACACATAATGCAGGTGGCCAAGAAAGAGCAACATAAAAATGAAGAAGTTGAAAAAAAGAGACTTCCTGAAAGACCACCTGAAAAAAGGTGATTTCCATTTTCTCCTGACACCATGAGCCTGCAGAGGTGGACATCCCATTTTGACATCACTGAAGGGTGGAGCATGACATCACTGAGCAGCAGTTTGTGATATCGTAGAGGGATGAATTGTGACATTTCATCCCTCATTTCTTATATTTGGATGTCAAGAGGGCACTGCCCAGTCTGGCTTGAGACAAAAATGGCCACAGAGGCAGACAGTACCTGCCCTATTTGCCAGGACACTCGGAATGACGTGGCTTCTGCCCTGCCCTGTCGCCACCAGTTCTGCCTGGGCTGTATCCTGCGTTGGGCCCAGAGAATTCCATCGTGCCCACTCTGTAGAAGGACGATACAGACTATCAGGTTTTCTGAGCAGAGTGAACGGGACTACATACAGCTGATCATCGCCTCCCCTGAAGTGTCACCAGAAGCCCATAGCCAGGCAGAGAGATCTCCTGGCGACCTGGAGGACAACAGCCCCCATCCCTCTGTGGTGTCCCCTCTGTCTTCTCCACAGGAGACACTGTCCCCAGATGAGCAAGGGGCTTCTAGGCTGGAGCTTGTTGGTGACCTCCTGCCTGAGGTCTGGGCAGGACTTTTCCGTGAACAACAGCAGCTCCTGGACCCTGTGAGGCCTTGGCTGCGCCAGAGGCTGGAGGGAATATACTGGGGCCAGTGGTGGTTGATAGAGGCCACGGAGAACTGCATCCTGCGCTACCTCTGTATCTGTGGTCCAGATGCAGAGGTCTTGGTGCAGAGACTGCTGGTCTTCCTAGAGGAACACACAGCACTGCTGGTCCATGACCTCATCAATGCTATTGCAGAACAGTGCAGTGAAGAGGCCCAGAGGCTGCTGCATTCCCATACTGTTGAGGATGAGGATGGCCGCCCAGCAGCCAGCACCAGCTCCAGTTCCAGTGAGTTCATGTCCAGCAGGTCCCAGAAGGGCACTCCTGTCAGCTGTCCTGCAGACTCCAATGCAGAGGAAGAAACTGCTACAGTAGAAACTACCCTTCACCAGGGTCCCACCTGCCCCCAACCTGGGCCCATCCCTGCAGAGAAGAACCAGCCCCAGGAGAAATCAGAGCAGGCAGCAGTACCGGGTCCCTCTGCACAGGGCTGCAGCCACAGCCACTCCACTCCTGGTCAGGGCAGGGGCTGCTCACCTGGGGCAACACAGTGTGCCCAGAAGAGGAAGGTCCCCAGCCCTTTGGACTCTCCCCAGCCAAGGAAGAAGCCATGACATGGACAGATCTGACCCCTGCAGTCCCGAGGGACACAGATGAAGTGATAAAACTTCATCTCTCTTGATTTCCCATTTCCCATCCAAGAACCACAACCTGAGGCTAATGGTACCCATGGCAGATTTCATAAAGTGGCCTCACATTTCCATGTCTGGCTTCCTGAAGGTGCCAAGTGAGGTCTCCCTTAGGTCCCACAGAGCCAGGGGTCTGAATAAATCTCTAAATATCTGAGTCCCTGAGTAACTTTGAGAGCTTGACATACTAAAATGCCAGCACATCTGAAAATCTTGTGCTGGATTCTATTTGGCTTGTGAAAGGAAAATCTGGATCAAGCACCACAGAAACTATGGAGAAAGAGTGTTCCAATACAGTTCTTGCAATTTTAATTGTGGATTTGAAGTTGATTGTTAAGTCTTTAAGGACCTAAACAAGAACCTGGTAGTTGCTAGACATCAGTGACTTTCTCCACAAAGACTCTTCTGCGAATGGGCAGTCAAGGGCAAACAGTCTTAAGACAGCTGAGTCAGTTGTTCTGCTCCAATCAGCACAAAAGTTGTTCCTTGATGACCTCCAAGCAGGAGGCCAATATCAGACAAACAAGGTAAAACTGAAGCTTTAGATAAAAATGGTGACCAGACATTTACTGTTATTTTTGCTGCTAGAACTTATGTAAAGTTGCAATGGCCACCCGATCTGTATGCTGGATATATGATTTGTGCTGTATCAAGCAAAATTCAAATGTGCTCCAGAGCATGTGGGCTCTTCGACAGCCACAAATCATCTGTGCCTGTGAAGAAAGATTTGGTGAACCTTAGCATAAGGGAGAAACAACAATCCAAGCATCTTTGTGATGAGAGTTCTTAAGATATATTACAAATAATTAAAAAAAAAAATCCCATGTCCATTTTGGTCCATCTCTTTTGGATTTTGGCTCAGATTTCTCCTTCCAAGTGTGGGGAATCTTAAATAACCTGGTCAGAGAGTATTGCACTCTGACATACACCTGGATAGAGTCATATCTGACACCAAATCCTTCAGCAGCTTTGCTGAGCTCTTTTAAAGTCCCTCTCCTAGGAGAACACAGCTACTTTTTGATTCCAAGGCTCATGAATTTTCCTTTTTACTTTCTGGAAAAGGGATGCACTTTGTATTTGTAAACATCAGAGAGGCACAAGAGAAAAATTTTGTGTTTAGATGGAAAGTAAAAGGAAGATCATATGGAAAACTTTTAGAAAAAAAATTACTGTTTTGCCCCTCTAAAACCTTTAATGTCTCTCTAAAGAAATTTCCCCAAAGCACATTTTCTGTCCCTATTGGCTGGCTGCTTTCAAGAATTGTCCCAGAAGGCTGACACTGTCTTGTTTTAGCTGCTCAAATTGTGTTTTCTATTCTTTCTTGTCTGTGATTTCCTTGCCTTACTGCAACATGCCCAAGGAAACCTATGGGTTTTGGAGGTGATCATTATAGTCCACTCTATAAATCATACATCCTTGCAAAGAACACACTGAACCATAATATTTGCACATGATTTGGTCTAAATGGCTTTGATCTGATTTCTGGAGGGTCATTTCGTAATTTAATGGTTCAGCTGAATTCTTTGTCGTGAAAGATTAAGTTTCTCATCAGGAGCCATTCCGTACCTTTTCAAGATGAAACCAGCCATGAGAGTACTGCATATGTATGTGGATTTTCTGAAGTGATTACTTTCCTTGTCCAATCCAACAGAAAAATCATCCTGCTGAAAAACAATTGCTGTAATTAAACTGAAAACCTGCTAGGTAAATTTATTCCAAATTATAAGTTTAATAAAATTATATATACAGCAAAATATGAATTTTGCCAGAAAGTCTTTTAAATGCCATTCTGCATATTTTCTATTGGTGGGAGTAATTCCTGTGGTCTTTTTTTCAGTCCCACAATTACAAAGAATACTATGAAACAAATTATAACTGAATATTTTTAGCTCCCTTAGAACCATTAAGCAAAATAGCAGAAACAATTACATTTGAGCTGTATTTCCAAAGCAGGTGTTTTACATTAGTACTCAAGGTCAGAGAAGGGAGAAGGAGAGGATATGTATGTTGAACAAAAAGCCATAATGGAACTGTGCAAATTCATTCTGTTCTCCAATATTCACATATTCAAACCATCATTGAAGACTGAGGCAAAATTTCAAGTGATTTTATTTCAATCAGCTGTGTTAAACCAATATAAAGGGCATTATTGGTCTGGCTTAACAAGTGTCTGAATAAATGATAGCAGAAAATCTGCACATTCTAAATGGTACTTTCTTGCGTAAGTCAGATTTTCCAGAGGATTCAGAAAACTGGTTTGAGTTTGGTTTTGGGGTTTTTTTCCATCTCTAAAAGAAGCCGAAAGAGCTCATATCTTCATTTAATCAGTTCAAGGTAAACAGGTTCTGAGGCATCACTTGTCTACCACTGAGATCACAGGTATCGGATACTGAGCACTTCCAAGAAGATGTCCTTCATTTTCAGACTTAAGACAAAAAAATGTAATCAAAGAAAAAAAACAAATTAATCAAATTCAGACACTGTTTTGCTGTCCTCTAAACCACAAAACTACACTCCACCCTTCTCATTAAAATAAATACATACACACTGACAGCACTGGTTTGGGAAAAAATAAAAACTGTCACTACCAGTCACTTCATCAAGAGAAGAGCAGTCAGTGTTGGCAGCAGCGCTGCATGTACATTTCTAGCAATTATATTGACTTAGTGTATTCAGATTAAGTAGAAAATTCAAAATAAACTCAATATTTACCTTCAAATGAGCTACTGTGAATCTAAATTTGCTTACCTGTTTGTCATCCAGGCCTTTATACCAAAAGGGAACCCCGGTCGAGGCCACTCCCCAGGCAGATGGAGCTCGTTAGCCCTGTAAGGCAATCCATCTACATCCTGAGGACCTCGCTGCCACCGTCCAAGCTCACTTGGCCCCGGCAGATGAACCTCAGGATTAAAGGGTGGGCTCAGTTCCGCGCACACTGTGTCTCACCTAAAAAATCCAATGCGCAGGCTGGAAGGTGTAAAGACCTTCCCCGGTTCTTCGTTCGCGAAGACTGGCCATTACTATTTACTTACTACCAAAAGGGAATATAATATGAATCCCACGGAGAAGACTCCTTTTCACCCTAATAATTCTGTTTCTTTGTTGGTCATTTAAAATAAGTTATAAATATCTAAAATATCTGTGACTCTTTACTCAAAAAGGATTTATGTCTACATTTCCTAGATAAATCCAACTGCATTTTACAATTGAAATTCTGTTCTCAAGAATCAAGACCATGTAAAACAATGAGGTGGAAATGCAACTGAAAGGTAAAACTCCAAAAGATTATGTACATTTAGGTGTTAAAAAATTTGCACATTCCACAAGATGTCTTCATGATGGAGAACAGTCATTTAAGGCTGCATTAATTGTGTAATAGATTTTGCTAGGTGACACTGTAGCACTCATTCAAATCCCTGATTTACCACAAACTCTGCTTTTAAAAAAAAAGTCATCTAGGTGGTCACACCACAAGTTCCAAGCTCCATCCTCACAAAGTTAACTTCTCCTCCATGGAAGCCTCCAAAGAGAGATGGACCACTCAATTGTAGCTGGAGTCTGCACTAGGGAACAATAGGCCTTACCAAAAGCACACACTGCCAAAGCTCCTCCAGTTGTCACCCAGCCATGAAATGTCCCCTTAGGTCCCCACAGGCCTTGTCCATGTGACACAGGGAGCATGGCTGAGCCGTTTCATCTTTCCCAGCTCATCTTTCCCAGCAGCATCAGCTCAGGCAAACTTCTCTCCTGCTCCTCTCAACAGTAAATTTAGCCTTAGGGCAATCAGGGTTTGATGAAGATTTAAATTCTTCCATCAGGTATCAAGAAGGATAATTTTCTGGCTCTGCACTGCGTACAAACAAAATTATGTTTGTACATATATGTATCTCTATTGATTTCTCCCTGTAGCTACAGGGCCTAGACAGTCCAGCTGTGGAGGCATTTCAAAAGCAGGTACTGTCCTAGGACCTTCTCTGAGTGTGGGACAGATGGACAGCCAGCCTGCCTCAGAGGGTTCTTTAAAGCCAAGATCAGCTCTTGGCCAGTGAGTGTTTTCTTCTGCTCTCTTTTCATGCGCCATTTCCCTGCAAACTGAGCAAGGGAGAAACTTCTGCACTGCTCTCTGGTTGACAGCAGAGTTGTAGCACCTGAATGTCCAGGAGGCTGCAGCCACTGCATGCTGCTGCTCAAAACAGCTCCAGGCAACATCCCAGTGACACTGAAAATGTGTTCTGGATGTTTGCACAAGGAAAGACTTGACTGATCACAAAGTGACATGCTCCAGGGCTCTGAACCACACAAGGAGAACTGAAGACATGGAAATTGAAGTGCTGTCAAGCAGAAAAACTAGACAAAACTGCAATTAAATTCATGTTGTAATAGAACAGGCTGAAAGATAACATCAGTTGTTAAATCTCTGAGATGTGACCTGGAAGTAACATGATAGATCATGTCAGTATCAGCTGGATCACTGTTCACATGGATTTATTTTCACATTTAAATAATCCATACTGTATTGATTTCATGAATCCTCTTTCACATACTGATTCTAAACTGTAACAAGCTGTAAGGTGACTGATCTTGTGCACTTTATTTAAGAACTCAGTGCATTGCTTAGACATGGTTTCCTATGCATGAATCCAGAGGCAAGTGTGATGCACCACACAGTGAGAAGAAAATTACATCTTAGAAAGGTCTGGAAGGGCAAAAGCTAGTACTAGGAATGCAGGTTGATTTTGAAATCTAGACAACAGACTACCATTTTCAAAAAATACCAAAGAAAAAACACTCATTAAACTGCCACTTACAAAGTGGAGGGAAACCTGAGAGTCTCAGTTTTGTTTGGGTTTTGAAAGGGATGTGTTCAAAATTCAGGCTGTACTGCTGTACCTGGAACTGGGTAACCTAATCCTGGGATGTCTCCATGTCACTATCACTTGTGAAAATTCTGCTTATACTTAGAAGTATCTGGCATGTCTTGGGATGCTAAGACAAGACTATTTCCTATGCAAAACTATTTCCTATGCACATGCTTTCTCCAGTAGGGACATATGTTCCTTTTGACGTGAGTGCAATCCAGTGCCATGAGAAAGAATTTCATTTCATTCTTTGGAATGAGCATTTCTTTTACTTCTCTTTATAATACGCATTTCATACATTTCAGTGCAGTTCGCTTTACAAGTTGGTTAAGAGATTCAATCTCCTTCTACCTCTAAACAGGTGAGGTAGCATTTTGGTGAGCACCAACTGGGTGAAAGATTCTACTGTGGTTTGTGTTATCTCAGATCAGGTGCAGTTCCATAAAAGCCCTTTTAGTGTCACGGAGCACTAAGCTCACGGCTGAATTTAATCAAAGGTAACACCTCTACTTCATAAGAATTTAGTAGTGGGAAGTATTGGGAGAGTATTAAATATTACAACATGTAGAGTAGAAAGAGGGTAACATTACTCATTCCTTCCACACAGGTCACTTTCAGCTACCTGAGCTGTAGCTGATTATTCTTGTATCTTCCTCTGCTAGCTCATGGCAGCCATCAACAGACACACAGACCAGACAAGAAGGTATTCTTCCCCACTGCCTCCTCCTTTCCCTTTCTATTTCATGGCCAGAAACAGAAGTCATCAACTCTGTGGGGTTTTTTTCCCAAAATCTCTTAGCAAAACACTGCCTAATTCACAGAAGAAATGAATAGTATCTAATATTTCAAAAATCAACAGCCTAATTAAGAATAACATCTTTATTATACAGA